GCTATCAGCACCACTCCCCTTCTCAGCACCAATTTTCCATATTAGTCTGTTTCCTGTTGCTTAAAACAGAAAACCTGAAACTGGACAATTTAGAAAGAAAAAAGAATTTCTTTCTTTTTTTTTTTTTTGAGACAGAGTGTTACTTTTTGCCTTGGCTAGAGTGCCGTGGCGTCAGCCTAGCTCACAGCAGCCTCAAACTCCTGGGCTCAAGCGATCCTTCTGCCTCAGTCTCCTGAGTAGCTGGGACTACAGGCATGCACCACCATGCCTGGCTAATTTTTTCTCTATATATTTTTAGTTGGCCAATTAATTTCTTTCTATTTATAGTAGAGATGGGGTCTTGCTCTTGCTCAGGCTGGTCTCGAACTCCTGAGCTCAAAGGATCTGCCAGCCTCGGCCTCCCAGAATGCTAAGATTACAGGCGTGAGCCACTGTGCCCCACCAAGAATTTATTTCTTACAGTGAAGGAGGCTGAGAAGTTCAGGGTTGATGGGCCGGTTCTGGTGAGAACCTTCTTGCCGTTGCGGACTCTCTGCTGAGTCCTCAGTGGCTCAGGCCATTGCATGGCCAGGGGCTTGGCACGCTAACATCTCTGATAGTTCATAAGTGTGTACTTTCAGGCTATCTATTCTTTTTTATTTTTATTTTTTTAATATTTTTAACTTTTTATTATAAATTCTTTTTTTTTTAACCCTGCATGAGAACATATTAGGCTGTTGGGCTAAATATTCTTAAACTTCCTATTTGCTAGTAAGAAAAGACAGAGGTCTGTGCGGCAACACTAAGAACCCCTTAAAGCTTGTTTCCCCTTCACTCTAAAGACCATTACCGTATTCCAGGCCCTGCTGTTCCTGGGCCGATATCTGAGTCGATTAAGCAGCACCAGTCCCTCATCTCGCCACTGAAGGGCACATCTGCTTGCAGAAGCATTTTGAAATTTGATTCTAATGTCCCACGGAGGAAGAGGCCTCACTAGTAACCAGGAAAAAGAAAAAAATGTAATTCAGGATTCACAATCAGAAATTTCCTTAGGTACTGACATGAGCCATAAAGAGTTGAACAAAACTCATTTCTAAGATGCATAACCACCAAATTTGGTAAAATATATGAGATGGATGTTTTAAAAAAGGAAAAAAAAAGTTGGATTCATCTCTAAATCATTAAAATAATCATTCCTCTTAATATCATTCTCCTTAAATCCAACCTCCTTTTTTTTAAGCCCGGGCTAGAGTGCCGTGGCGTCAGCCTAGTTCACAGCAGCCTCAAACTCCTGGGCTCAAGCAATCCGTCTGCCTCAGTCTCCCAAGTAGCTGGGACTACAGGCATGCGCCACCATGCCTGGCTAATTTTTTCTCTATATATTTTTAGTTGGCCAATTAATTTCTTTCTATTTATAGTAGAGACGGGGTCTTGCTCTTGCTCAGGCTGGTTTCGAACTCCTGACCTCGAGCAATCTGCCCGCCTCGGCCTATCCAGAGTGCTAGGATTACAGGCGTGAGCCACCGTGCCCGGCCAAATCCAGCCTCATTTTTACCAAATAACTACCATCAGCATCAGTGACCTGTTGCCTCTACTTAATTCGATGGTTTTTAAAAGACCAACACGCCGAACCCGCGTGTTCCAGTGACTGAGAAGCCAGAGGTGGCAGGTGATGATCTCCTCAGGAGGAGGAGAAATGTCAGTGGGAAAATTCACAGTGAAAGGGCAGAGCCACAGAGGAAGAAAGGAACAGGGGAATGATGGTGGCTTAGAGACGAGTGTGGTCTGTGCAAAAGAGAGGGAAGTGTGGTAGGAAAGTGAGTAGTCAATGACTACGACCAGACACAGTTGGCAGTGCGTATGCAAAGAGGTGCTACGGGACGTGAAAAGAGAGACACATAGTGGGAGGTTAGGACTGAAGGCAGGCAGAAGCCACCTGGGATGGTCAGAACTTGGACCGCCTGACATTGGCCTCTGATTCAACTGGGCCAGTTATATTTGCTTAGAAATGTGCTGGGACCAGCTCCCAAGCTGATGAGAGGGGTGGAGGTAAGTATTCTCAGCACTAGATGCATTTGTGACTTGATACACTTATTTATAATTTGCACCTGGCTGCTCTAGCCTTGCAGGCCCACAGGTAACCTATCTAAGAACAGTGGGAATAGCCATGGGTAAAAGGACACCTCCTCCAAGAAGAGCCTACACTGAGCTTCTGGAATGACCTTACATGACCCTCTCCTCAGTCAGATGGTATCATTGGCAGCTGGTTTTTTCATGGGATTTGAAGCCAAGGATTCCTTTCTCCAATCCAGAGTAATGTTGACTATTCCATTTTGTACAGCTATCTTTATAAAGTTCTAGGATGATGCACTCTTTCTTTTTTTTTAGACAGAGTCTCTGTTGCCCAGGCTAGAGTGCCATGGCATCAGCCTAGTTCACAGCAACCTCAAACTCCTGGGCTCAAGTGATCCTCCTGCCTCAGCCTCCTGAGTAGCTGGGACTACAGGCATGCTCCACCATGCCCGGCTAATTATTTTTACTATGTATTTTTTAGTTGTCCAGCTAATTTCTTTCTATATTTAGTAGAGATGGGATCTCACTCTTGCTCAAGTTGGTCTTGAACTCCTGAGCTCAAACAATACCCCCACCTCGGCCTCCCAGAGTGCTAGGATTACAGGCATGAGCCACCACTGCATCTGGCCCTTGCACTCTTTCTTTTACTTGCTTCAAAGTAACTTCTATCTTTTGCCTATACCTGTTGGCCACTTTCCATCAACCTTTGTCCCTCTTGAAACAACCGTACAAAAAAGATTTGGGTGATTTTTAAAATAATTACCAAATGCCAATGAATGACACCTACAAAAAGTGAACTAAAATGTACCTATGTCCAAGACTGTGAATGTGGATGGAAATGAAGAAGAGCTTCCAAGACTATTGATGGCAGTAACCTTGGCTGTGAAGCTGGACTCAGGTGATGCAGGGGTGAGGTTGATTCCAAGGTCCAAATGGTCACAATTATAATCTTTACATTGTTTCTGCCAAGTTAGATTTTTTGGTCCACTTAACCTATAAACAAAATAACATTGTGTTTAGCGAGATAATTTTATGTACTATTTTCTCTTTTTAGTACAAAAGAACAAAATGTTCAAATGTTTAAAATTCTAGACAGTTTTTAAAGGTCAGTCTTATTACTAAGGGAAATGCCATGGGAATATTTATATTCTATGGTCATAAATAGAACCATACTTTCCTCCCCTCCCTTTTTTGGCAAAACTGAGATTTTTTTTTGTGTGTGTGTGTGTCCATATAGATAGATAGCTAACAATGACTATATCCCCAAACCGTGGCTGTCATCTTGGCTCCTTGGGGCAATTCTTAACATCATCACAAAGATCCATGGCCACCTTGGCATCCACAGCACAAAAAGCATCAATTCCCAGTACACCACTGGCCAGACCAGAATCTTCGGGCCACTTCCTTTCCCCATCTCCTGCTCACTCAGGCACAGGGCAAATAGGCTGGATCTTTAATGCAATCTATTCCAAGGAACAGAATCTCCCAGACACTCTCTTCTTGTGTACTTTCAGGGTCAGCCAATGGTGCTTTAAAAAGAAACTCCTCCAAGCTAATGGAAAACTACCACACGGAAGAGTCTATTTATGTCTTGTGACCCCAGGGCTCTGTAGCTGCAAAAGAGATGTTATGCAGCCAGTTTAACCCTACCAGCGCAAGAAAGAGCACCCATAACCTGGGCCTTCGATGCTCTGCAGGGAACTCTCAGTTAGAACTCTGACCCAAGACATCAGGTCTCATGCTGTAGGTGAATGAACCAATTTTAACTGATGAACACTGGAATTTTTTTAAAAAAATATCCAATTGTCCAGAGGTGTCTATTGCTTCTTCTCTCTGGTAAAAATAAAACTTAAATATTTCTAAATGTTATATAAGAGAAGACCCACAAAAACAGCTGCAAAAACACAGCCTGTCACTCACTGTAAAGTATACTCAGTGTAGAGGTGGGTGTCTCGCCCTCTGTCCCAGCTGCAGGCCACGGTGCCTTGCTCTCCCTTCTGTATACAAGATATGTTTTGAGGCTGTTCTGGAGCAACTTTAAAAAGAAAGAGCAAAATCTTATGTTTGGAATTTCACACAGGTGACATTTCAATCACATTGTTATTATCTGCCAAGAACATGGCAATACCTCCCCACGTCACCCAATCCCAGATAAGCTAGAAACTATTTTAGATTCTGTCAAGTTCAAGGTTGCCTCCAAGGCAAGAATTTCTTCTAATAACAGCAGTAATAATAGTGAACATGGATCAAACACTTGCTACATGCCAAGCCCTTTTATCTAAGAGGAAACTAAGACTTAGAGAGGTGGAATACTTTGCCCAAGATGACACAGTTATGAAGTGGCAGAATCAAGGCTACAGCCCAGGTGTGGCTGACTCAAGTCCAAGCCTTTCCACTCCATATTCTAGCATTTTCCCTGACAGATGACCATCCAATACTAGCTCTGTTAGTGATGGTAAGTTAACTTTTAAGAGTGATGCCCACTCAAATATTAGAAACCTTTAAAATCTAGGGACTCTTTTTTTCATTCAAAAAAAATTGCTGCCAAGGCACTTCTACCCACTTTCCCTACTCACGTCCTTCTGGGCTGTGCTACCTGAGTCTGATTTCTGCAGTGCATCACTTGGAGCACTGTGTGAACATTTTAAAATTAATTCCTTAGGTACATATATGTATACAGTGTACATATAAATACATATATACATATGTGTTTATATATTACATGTTTATATATATAACTGTATACACACACACACACATATATATATATACACACACATTACTCATAACAGGGCCATATATGTTAACTTTTCATCTTCTATACAACTTTTCGTTTATCTCGGAGTTAGTAATTGATTGCCTTATTTTTCCATTTGTTTTGTTTTCTTATTAATATAATTCCAAACTCTAAGCCAATTATCTGAATCATTATGACATATATATATATATTTTTTTTTTTTTTTAAGGTGAGAAGATATATATATTTAGAATTAGCCAGCTGGACTCGGTTTAGATGATCCCAATTTTTTTGGCAACGTCCAAAGCATCATAATCAGGAGCCAGTCAAACATATGCCTTCTTCTCTCCATCAGGCCTGATCAGGGTGTTGACCTTGGCCACATGAATGTCACAGAGCTTCTTCACAGCCTGTTTGATCTGGTGCTTATTGGCTTTGATATCCACAATGAACACAAGTGTGTTGTTGTCTTCTATCTTCTTCAGGGCAGACTCAGTGGTCAAGGGGAACTTGATGATGGCATAGTGGTCAAGCTTGTTTCTCCTGGGGGCGCTCTTCCGAGGATATTTGGGCTGCCTCCGGAGTCGCAGTGTCTTTGGCTGCTGGAAGGTGGGTGATATACGGATCTTCTTTTTTTTGTGGCTGTGGACACCTTTTAGCACTGCCTTCTTGGCCTTCAAAGTCTTTGCCTTGGCTTTGGGAGGGGCAGGAGCTTCCTTCTTTGCCTTCGGCGCCATCTTGTGAAAAGCCATTGTGACATATTCTGAACGCACTGGGATTTCTATCAGTTTCATCTGCGTGAGGACCTCTGTCCTGGAGGCTTGTGAACTTTGCGACAAGACAGGCTGCCTCCACACCTGGTACTCAGCTGTAATTTGGGGGCTGCTCATTCTCACGCCCCATAAATCCCTTCTCCTTTACCCTGTGTCGAATCTCCTTTTCTTACATCCAGTGTTTTCTTCTTCCTTGATTTAATGACTTGTGTTGGTGGAGCATAACCTCCAGGAGTTCCCTGAGAAAAGGTATGTGGGAGGGAATATTTTGAGCATGGTTAAAAATATCTGTATTCTACCCTCACATTTGACTGACACTTCGGCAGAGTATAGAATTCTAAGTTGAAAAGAATTTCCACTCAGAATTCTGAAGGCGATGCTCGTCGTTTCCTATATTCCAGGTTGTTACTAAAAACCTGAAGCCATCTGACTCTTAGGTTACTGTATATGGTCTGATTTTTCTCTTCAGGACATTGTAGAATTGTGCCTTTGTCTCCACTATTCTGAATTTTCACAGACAGATGTACTTACTGAGGGTCTGTTTTCATCCATCCTTTTGGATTCTCAAAGAGCTCATACATTTGGGGAGCTCTTGTCCCTTAGTTGGGAAACTTTCTTGAGTTATTTTTCTAATGATTTCCTCCCCTCTGTTTTTTTTCTTTTTAAAAGTCCCTATTTTTCATAGGCTAGAACTTCTTCTAATTTTATACTTTGTAATTTAAACTCTTGGTCTTTTTGTTCTACTATTAGGGAAAACCATCCTTAGTTTACATTTCTTCCTTCCTCTTGAGTTTTTAATTTCTGATTATCATTTTCTTTTTTAAACTTTGGGGGCATATTTTCTATTCTCTAAGTATTTTCTTTTTATAGTATCATATTTTTGTCTTGTACCCAATATTTTCTCTTAATTCTCTAATGGCATCCAGGATAGTTTTTGGTTTTTTTTAGTTCTTCTCCCTGAATACCCAACTAGAGGGCACTTTTCTTATATATTTTATTCTATATGTTTGTTTTGGTGTCTGTCCTACATGTTAGACATTCTCCTCAGATCTTTGTAATTTTATTCATTTATAGGAGGGGGCACTACATTATAGATTAGGCCTCTGTGTGTCAGTTGGGAGGTCCTAGCTGACTCTGGGTGTCACTCCAGGGTGACCTGGCTCAGTTCTGGGGACAGGAGAGCCCTGTTGTCAACATTTTTAGATATTTTCTTTCGGCCTGGTCACATTTCCTACAAAAGGATTTTCCAATCTGCCTGGAGGGAAGTGTGGATTGAAGAGCACTGTACAGGCCAGGCGCGGTGACTCATGTCTGTAATCTTAGCACTCTGAAAGGCCAAGGAGGGAGGATTGCTCAAGGTCAGTAGTTCGAAACCAGCCTGAGCAAGAGTGAGACCCCCTCTCTACTGAAAAATAGAAAGAAATTAATTGGCCAACTAAAAATATATAGAAAAAATTAGCCGGGCATGGTGGCGCGAGTAGTCCCAGCTACTTGGGAGGCTGAGGCAGAAGGATTGCTTGAGCCCAGGAGTTTGAGGTTGCTGTGAGCTAGGCTGATGCCACAACACTCATTCTAGCCCGGGCAACAGAGTGAGACTCTGACTCAAAAAAAAAAAAGAGCACTGTATGTAAATGTTCTTTTAATTGCTCTGTTTTTCAGTGCCATACCGCCAACCTCAGCTAATCTGGCCTCCTCACCCTGTAGCCCTGTGATACGAAGACATATGTCAGAGTGCTGGCTTCATGGAACTAGGAAGGGGTCTAAGACTCTCAGCTGCTTCTTTAAACAGCCTTTCAATCAAATCTCCCATGTTGGTCCCACTTTTACCCTCACTCCCAGAGGTGGCACCAATTTCTGAATCTTTCTGGGGAGAGGGCTTCTGCATTAAGTCAGGCTGCAACTTGACTTTTGTCACTAGCTCCCTAAATTTTGTTGATTTATCTTCCCTCCCACTCTTTTTGTCCTGGAGGGTTTGTGCCACTTGAACACTTTTTTAAGAATTTCATCTTGACTTTATTTCACGGGCAATGAAAGTATTAATAAATATATGTGTTCAATCTACCATCTTTACCCAAAAGCCATTGTAGGGCCTTTTGATGAGCAAATGAGATATTAATATAAAGTAACTGGAACTTTTACATAATGAAAAGGTTAACCACCACCTTTATTCCTAAAGGCTTACAGAAACTCTCATTTTAAAGACCACAGCTTTCACCTACAAAGCAACTTTCTTGATGTGAAAACTGATTTTTCACTGGACCATGAGATCCAGATGTTTTTCAGCTCAGGTCTAAGTTTTGGCAGAAACTGTCTGTCTCAGGGACAACCAGGCAAAATTCTACTTGACACAAACGTACAATAGCTGATGTTAAAATAACTTACAAATAAGACATTGCTATGAGTATTATGGTTGTTATTGTTTTAAAAGCCCTACTTATTATTGGAAGTAAAAAGTCTTAGATAAATCATTTTCAGAACTATCAACAGCCTAAGCATATATTTATGAAAACAGTCAAGGAAGAATCCAATGTCTTTCATTTATTGCCTTGATTTTTTTAAGCACTACAGATTTTATTTTTTGATCAATTGAATTTTTAAATTTCAGAATATTAAAGAGGTACAAATGCTTTGGTCACATAAATTGCCTTTGCACTGCCCAAGTCAAAGCACCAAGCGTGCCCATCCCCCAGACAGCGTGCACCACACCCATCAAGTGTGAATTTACCCCTCTCCTCCTTCCTATTGCCTTGATTTTCTAAACTTCTGTGCATCAGTCCTGTGAGATTAAGCTACCATATTGGCTGTTTAGTTTCTACACAATTTGGATGAACTCTGGGCAACAGAGCAGCTCAAGCATGAGAAGGGGTCAGGAAGAAAAAGCTTAAAGGCCACTTGCCTATTCCCAGCTCTGAAAAGCCAGCAACCTTTATGACAGACTCTCCCAATAGGCAATGGTACTATGGACTACCACTTACTACAAAAAAGAAAATGGGATACTTACTCCCTCCCTAGATAGGACTGAGCTTACAATACTATGTGAAACCAAAATTCACTGTATTTTCTTGGAATGACTAGCCATACTCAGAAAAAGGTATTGCTTCCAGTTAGTCCATCTCAAATGTGCTAAACCTGCTCAAGGAACAGCTATTTGATTATGTGGTTACCACTTGAGCACATTGCACAAGCAACATTCTGGCAGCACCACCCAACTAAACCGACCTGAACCATGACAGATACTCTTCATCACCTGCCTAGATCTTTTGATGCTGCAAATTGCCACAAATGCATCCGCTTACGCTTGATGGAAAAGTAAAAAAATGAAAAGGGGTTGCAGCACTGTAATATATGACAGCTCAGATACAAAATGGAATGGAATGGCTGGGTACATCTACAAGGGTACTGACTGCCAAGACTGTTGTTTGTCTATGAAAAGGGAAAAAAATGCCAGTAGTACTGTGGATACCTGGAACTGATTCTCACAAGGCCATGAATGTCTTATATAAATACATTGAGTTACCTGGGTGAAATATTCAGGTGTTCTGAAGGCAAGGAAGGTAAAGACCAATGGTGTTTTTGAGCAAGAAATCAATTCTGTTTATAACCAATATTTGTATTTCTAAGGGAATCACCCACAGCTACCCAGCATGACACACGCATGAAGAAAAAAGCACAGCTGCATGAAACTGCAACTCTAGCGCTAATCACTTCCATGCCTCCTCTGTGCCTTGCACTGGATTAAGCACTTTACACACAAGGGGTCATTGAGTCACTATAACTATCCTAGGAGTAGATGTTACTCCCTTCATAACACAGATGGAGAAATTGAGGTTCAGAGAATTGAAGTTGTCTAAGGGTACTCTGCTAGTGGCAGCATTAGGATTTAAAGTCTAGGCTCCTTCTGCTGGGCCACAGGCTGTCAAAGCTGAGAGTACATGACCCGTAAGTGGTGTGAACAGGAGGCCCTGAGCTGGAAGAGGAGCACTGGGCCTAGTTATGCCTCCTCCCCATCAGTCATTTGCTTGGTCTTCTGCTCCATGCTCCTGGTGGCCCTCTAGGAAAACTGCCTGGCACCAACCGTAAGGTCACAGAGAAGCATTGTCCATCTTTTCTGGAAAGAGTCTCATTGAGCTCTATAGCATTGTCTTTATGACAGAGAGCATGTCCCTACAGCTTGGTCAGCCAGCCTGCTACAGCAATTTGTCTTAGTCTCCTCATGTCTCTTGCCTCTCACCTCAGAGCTTCCCTGGAACCACTGAGGCACAGGGGGCCACAGAATCACCCAGGGCCCATACATCGCATTGGCTGGCCTGGCTGGACCTGCAAGGCTGTGGGCTGCAGGTTGCAAACTGCAGGCAGGTGTGCTGCTCGGTCACCCTGCACACCTGCCTGAGACTGCTAAATTCTTCTTTCTTTCCCCTGTCATGGGATTTCCATATGCCCTTTCTGGGAATGTCCCTCTGTGAACAAACAACCATTTGTATTTTCTGTTGAAGCTGTGGCCAGCTCGGTAATGTCACCATCTTGTGTTTGCTTTTGCCCCTTTCCTGGCTCATTCCCTCACTTTTGCCTCCCTGGGACTGTACAATCCCCCTCCCCCCCCATGAAGACTTAGCATGACTGTTTCACTTCTGACAATTTTCTAGAGAACCCAAGAAAAAATAATAAGTATGATCAACGTTTTATTTTAACCTCTGCTAAGTATGATAACTAGCAGTCTGGGGCAAGTGTGGATGGAAGAATTATTATTATTGTTGTTGAGACAGAGTCTCACTTTGTTGCCTGGGGTAGAGTACCCTGGCATTAGCCTAGCTCACAGCAACCTCAACCTCCTGGGCTCAAATGATCCTCCTGTCTCAGCCTTCTGAGTAGCTGAGACTATAGTTGTGCGCCCCGACACCTGGCTACTTTTTTTCTGTTTTTAGTAGAGATGGGGGTCTTGCTCTTGCTCAGGCTGGTCTTGACCTACTGACCTCAAGTGATCCTCCCACCTCAGCCTTCCAGAGGGCTAGAATTACAGGCGTGAGTCACTGCACCCGACCCGAAGAACTATTTTATGTGTACTAAGTTAGGGATGGGAAGAGGTGCTGCTTAGCCTTGTGTAGTCATCCTGGGCTGAATAATTAAAAAAAAATACATCTCTTTCTTCTTTTTAGGAAGGTGTAGCTTTGAACAAATTCTCTGAAGTCAAAAAGGCATGAAGACCCAACTGCAAAGATACATTTTCCTGCCATTGGAGACCAAAGACTACAGATACATGGTTTAGATGGTGTGCGTGTGTGCATGTGTGTATGTATGTATGTGTGTGTGGTGTGTGTGTGTGTGAGAGAGAGAGACAGAGACAGAGACAGAGAGATTCTAAAGAAGACACCAATTCTATTAATTATGGACTTCTCACATTGAGGTGCTCATGTTGCTATCAAGATAAAAATACTTCTATGTGGTCAGAAAAGAAAGAATACTGTTCTGTATTTGGATTTCTGCTTAACACATGACAAATACCAAAAGATCACCAATTTTTAGAAATTCAGAATGGATTACTCACCACCAACTGAGATTTCTGCTCCACATACTCGAATCTCATCCCTATTGATACAGGACAGTTTGCAGACAAACAAAGTGGTACCAAGAGGAAGATCTGTGACTTGAGAACTGAGGGAGTGACCCTGGTGAAAACTGATTCTTCTGTCAAACTTGTAGAGGATTAACCTGTTTGAACTGGAGTAGCGCGAGCAGCCTTGTTTGGGCTTCAAAGAGCATGAAATATTGACAGCTGATCCAAGTAAAATTACATGGGAAGGCTTCACAGTCACATCTCCTCTTTTGCACACATCTGCAATAAGATACAAAGGCAATACTCAGTTGGCAATAATAAACCCATTTCCAAATGGAGGGTTTGTGCAATTCCCAAAAGCAGGGTAAAATTAACCTGGAAATATAAATAACATCAGATCATGGAAATATAAATAACACACAATTGCTCTGGTTATATTGGTGATGCATAGTGAGAATGAAAGGCAAACATATTGAAGTCTAACTATATTTGAATTAAAAAAATGCATCCTTCTCATAACCAGTAATACTATGACCAGAACTATAAATAGGAAAGTAGAGAGAAAGTAGATTTGGAAGAACATTCAGGAACACAGTTCCAGGAAAAACCAGCCTTTCTCATATGCAAATTGTTCACCAGACTACTAAAGAGGCCTTCCCAGAATAAATCACATTTGTTTCCATCACCACTTATGGCTTTTTTTTTTTCATTTATGACTTACAATACTTACTTCAATACTCATACCAAGAAAAAAAAGACAGTTTTTAAAAAGTATTGCAAACTTTAGAGGTATATTTAGGAATAATTCCTTCTCTTGCTGTATTATAAAGCATAGGTAATCTGCAAGATTATTTTATAACGAAGAGAAAACACTGAAAGGCTTGGTATGTTTGTAATTGGTATCAAGGATGGAAGTTCAGTCTTACCATGCCATATTTTGATAGTTCTTCTAGATATAAGACCCAGGGGTGGATGGATCATTACCTGATATAGCTAATATGAAATTATATGAATATATTCTTTTTTTTATAAGTTCTCTATGTTATTTACTATATACCTGATGCCACCTTAAACCTTTATTAAAAGAGAGGTCATTGCTACTCTCTAGAAACTTTTGTATTAATAAACATGACAACTATTCAGAAATTAACCACTACTAGTTAGTGGTTGTACTCAGCAACTGTTGATGAAAGAATCTCAGAATTATAGGTTCACCCTGAATTTTCAGATGTGATATAAAGCCTCCATTGAAAGTCTTTTTTGGATAATTGTAAGATTGCTTGGATCTACTACTACAGATAGGAATAGGCTAAGAAGTTATCTAAGAGGCCAGGCGTGGTGGCTCATGCCTGTAATCCTAGTACTCTGGGAGGCCGAGGTTGGAGGATTACCCAAGGTTAGGAGTTTGAGGAGCCTGAGCAAGAGGGAGACCCCGTATCTACTAAAAATAGAAAGAAAATTAATTGGCCAACTAAAATATATAGAAAAAATTAGCTGGGCTTGGTGGTGCATACCTATAGTCCCAGCTACTCAGGAGGTTGAGGCAGAAGGATAAAAGTGAGACTCTGTCTCCAAAAAAAAAAAAAAAAAATAGGAAAATTCTTCTC